CCCTCACCCACCGGCAGGCAGAGGACCCCCGGCCTCATCCAGTGCTTGCCGTTCCAGACAAAGTGGGCAAGCGACCTGTTCGCCCTCGTGAGTAACCAGCCCGGGGGTTGGAGGGCCTTGGCTCTGTGCCACAGCACCGAGGCTGCCAGGTTATTCCCTATGAGCACTCTCCCCCTGAAGGACATTTGTGGGGCGAGATGTGCCCACGCTCTCAGTTTAGCATCAAATACGTCGCTCATCTCGGTCCAGTTTTTATTAACGACTTGGGGCTTTCCTAGGTACACTCCGAGGTACTTCACGCCCTCACCCTGCCAGGTGACTCCACCTGGGAGGAGCACGGAACTCATTGCACCTTGTGACCCCATCCATAACGCCTCACACTTCCGCCAGTTGACTTTGGCGCAGGAGGCCTTTTCATAGACCTCCACCGCCCGGCAGAGTGCAGCGACGTCCTGTGCGTCGTTGATCATGGCGCATACGTCGTCCGCATATGCGGAGAGCTTTATGACTGCGTTCTCCGGCCCCGGGACCTTGAACCCGGACAAGGTGTTTCTCAGGCGTCGCAAGAGCGGCTCAAGGGACAGGGTGTAGAGGAGCCCCGAGAGAGGGCACCCCTGCCTGACTCCCCTTGTCACGGGAACAGGACAGCCAAGCCTTTGATTGATTTTTATGAGGCTGGATATGCCCGTATATAGGAGGTGCACGTGTGCCGTGAAGTTCTGGCCGAACCCGAAGGAGAGGAGCAGTCTTCTCAGGTACTCGTGGCTCACCCTGTCGAACGCCTTCTCCTGGTCCATGAATAGGAGACCTGCATCCACGTCGTGCATATCCGCGAGGGAGATCACATCCCTGACCGTGCCGATGTTGTCATAGATGCAGCGGCCGGGGATGCAATACGCCTGCTCGGGTTGCACGAGCTGACCCACCACCTCCTTGAGGCGGTTTGCAAGCGCCTTGGCGAAGATTTTATAGTCGGCGCACAGGAGGGAGACGGGCCGCCAGTTTTCTATGCGACGCAGGTCCCCCTTCTTAGGCAACAGGGTGACCACCGCCCTCCTGCAGCTCTGCGGGAGTTCCCCTTCTCGCAGGCTCTCCTCCAGCAGCTCCAGCAGGCAAGGGCCGAGTACATCCCAGAAGGTTTCGTAGAACTCAACTGGCAGCCCATCGATCCCTGGGGATTTGCCAGCTGCCAGACCTTTCATGGCAGTGTGCAGCTCCTCCAGGGTGACGGGGCTTTCCAGTTTGTCTCTCTCCGCGTCCCCCAGAGTAGGGCCCGTGGCTAGTAGTTCTTCAACCGCCTCGTCTTGTACGTGCTCAGCCTTGAACAGGTGTGAATAGAAGTCCTTCGCGATCCTGGCAATTTCCCCCTCGGCAGTTGCTGTCTCCCCCTCTGGGGTAAGCAACCCTGAAATGTTATTCTCATTGCTCGAGGGTCTATTGCCTCGCCTAAAGAAATACTTTGAGGGAGAATCCGTCTGTGCCAGGTGTTGCACCTTTTTGTGCACAAACGAACTATGTGCCTGTTGGTCCGTGACGGCCCTAAAAAGCCGCCGCTTCTCCAGCAGCACCTCACCCTCGTTGTTGTGCGCATCCTGGGCCGAGCCCATCTCAGCCTCGAGCAGCAGCAGCTCGCTCGCCAGGTGTTTCACTGTCTCCTCCTTGGCGGCGGCGTGCTGGCTCGAAAGCTGTAGACAGAGGGCCCTAATTTGCGCTTTAGTTTGTTCCCACCATCGCTGACCAGAGCTGAAACTGCTCCTAGTTGCTGCCCAGTGTGACCAACAGGCCCTGAATGCCTCCGTGAAATTTTCGTCCTCAAGCAGCTGCACGTCGAGTTTCCAGTAGGGGCAGCGACGCCTCTCCCTGGGGACTCGCAGCAGTGCTGAGACCAGGTGGTGGTCAGAGAACCCGGACGGGGTGATGTTGCTTCCCCCGAGCCGGTTAGCGCTGTCCGCACTGATGTACAGCCGGTCCAGCCTGGCGAGGCTCATCCTCCCCTGCAGGCCCGCGCGGCACCAAGTGTATTGCCTCTGGCCTGGGTGTTGCAGTCGCCACGTGTCGAGCAAACCCAGTTGCTGCACCATGTCGGCTAATGGCCGTGCGGATTCCGGGTGGGGCTCAGCACTATTGCGGTCGAGAGCCGGGTCGAGGGTGCAGTTCATATCTCCCCCCACGACCGTGAGCACCCCGTCCGCACTGCCTGCCTCTAAGGCATTCCGCAGTGTGCCGGAGAAAAAGCGTTTCCTCTCACTGGTCTTACTCGGTGCATAAACGTTGAAACACCGTAGCCTCGTGTTGTTTAACACGAAGTCTACAGATATCAGATGGCCTTTTTGGATCTCTCTGAAGGCCACGCCTTCCGGGAGAAACTTTGGACTAAACACAATTGCAACCCCAGCGCGGTTGTCTTCTCCGTGACTGAAGAAGGTCCGGCTGCCCAAGAGGTGCTGGCGCTGGGCCTGCAGAGTTGCGTCAAGGTGCGTTTCTTGCAGAAACGTCACATCCGCTTTCTGCTCGCTAATGAAGCTGCAGATGCGGTGCCACCTCTGATCGCTTCGAGCTCCGTTGCAGTTTAAACTCGCGATCCTTACACCTGAGGAAGCCATGGCTTTAGGCGTCGGCTTCAGCAACAGCATCAGCGGGGGGGCACTCCGGTTGGGACATGCTCCCCTTTCTTGCTTTCTGCATGAAACCCCTCAGCCGATTGCCTTCCTGTGGGGTGCATTTGTGCTTTCCCATGTCGCTCATGACTGTCTGCGCGACCTTCAAGAAGGCCTGCGTATCGGGGAAAGAATCTCCGACGTCGACCCCCCGCTTCTTGTAACTAGTTCGGAGGAATTCGACAATCTTGCCGGGTGTGTACTCCCGTTTCTTCTTAACATGTGAGTAGCTCCCCTCACTCAAGTTGTCTTCTATCTCTAACTCCGACCCTCCGTCGTCTGAGTCTCCCGGCACGCTCGTGTGGGGCTCGGTGGTTACCTCTTCCAACGCACCGTGCCGATCGGAGGTGTCTTCCAACTCAGGCTGGCTCCCCTCTGCGGCCTCTGCCTCCCTCACCTGGTCGGGTGAGGAGGTGAGCTGGTCGTCACCCCCGAGCGCCGTGTCATCGGCGGGCTCATCGGTGGCTTCCAGCACCCCCCCCCCCCCTTCCGGGGCAGCCGAGTCCGGGTCTGGTGGTCGCCCCCCAGCCTCGGTATCAACCGGCGGGTGGGCCTCGTCAATGACGATCACCTCACCCTGTGGCTCGGCCTCACCGCCGCGCCCTGCTGTTGCATTCGGGCGGTTGTCCCGTTCGTCACTGTCGCTGTTATCTTTCTCGGCGGTGGCGGCGGCCACGCGTTTTGGAAGGGTGCCACCGCGCCCCCCCCCCCCCCGGATTGCTTCCTTTCGCCTTCCGCTTTCTCGACTCAACGATGGTGAAACCATCTTCCCCGCCGTCAGTCATTGGCTGCGCGTGGCCATCAGCAGAGTCGGTGGAGGTCTGCTGCTGCTGCAGCTGCTGCTGCCGCGGTGGCGGCGCCTGCTGCTGCTGCTGCTGCAGCTGCTGCTGCCGCGGTGGCGGCGCCTGCTGCTGCTGCAGCTGCTGCCGCGGCGGCGGCGCCTGCTGCTGCTTCTGCTGCTCCCACACTTCTGCTGCTGCTGTCTGCGCAGGCGGAGCTGCTTTTCCCCTTTCCTGTTTGTTTGCCGTGCAGTGTTTCCGGGTGTGTCCGACACCACCACACCCGTAGCACTTCGGCGCGGCCGTGGAGGCATACACGGTATAGACGTGACCATCAATGGTGTACTTGAAGTTCACATCCAATTCCGTGTTGCCTTCCTTTAAGATCATAAACGTTTGACGCTGCAGCGACAAAACGTGTGCTAGCTTTGGGTCTTTCGACCTCAAAGGCAGCATAATTATATTCGAGATCACTGTGCCGAAGCGCTGTAGATCTCGGCGCAGTTCGGTGCCCTTGAGAAATGGCGGCGCACCTGAGAGCATCACCCTGATGGCGGGCGACGAGAGCGGGGTGCACTGCACAAACAGCCCTTCCCCGACGTCGAGCCCCGTCTCTACCAGGCGCGCCACCATACTCTCCTGGGTCACGTACACCACCACACCTCGATCTTGCCTTTGGGCGGTGAGGATGCCCGCATGGCCCACACACGTGGCCACAGCAGCTGCGACGATGTCGGCTGTGATCTCGGGCGGTGGATAGCAGATAAACCCGTTCCTTCGCGAAAGACACTCGAGCCTTGGATATTGCGCCATGGTGGAAAGGCAGCAGTAACCGCAGGTCTTAGCGAGAAAGGGAAACGAAAAGAACGATGACTCTCCCTCTCAGGCCAGGCTCAGGCTCTCACCTGAGCCCAGGCCTCTGTCCGCTCACCTGGTGGGGCAGGAGCGACCACTAGGCGTGGCCTCTCCGCACGGGAGCGCAGAGAGAGAGAGAGCGAGCGAGAGAGATAAATACATAACCACTGAGGGCCTCACTGACATTGCCAGTCTGAAAAGCGCCCTCAAACGGATGATGGTCTGGTTTTTTTTGGTTAAATAAAAATTTGGCACTTGATTGTCGGCAGAAAGTAACTTTTTTGTGTGTGTGTTGAAGAATATATATTTATATATTTGTTAACCAGCTTTCATGAAGAAAATGCCGTGGCGTTTTCGCTCTAGAAATGTGTCCAAAAAAAAAAGTTCGTCCTTTCATCGCGGCGAGCGAAAAAAAAACACGTCGAAAATCTTCAAATAAAACTGCCATTCCCTTCTCACACACACACACACGTTGTCCCGTGTGTAGTCTCACACACACACACACGTTGCCCGTGTGTAGCCTCGTGCACGCGCGTCCCGCGTGTGTAGCTTCACACACAATTCCCGCGTGTGTAGCCTCACCCACGCTCATCCCGCGTGCGTAGCCTCACCCACGCGCGTGAGAATCAAACTCGGGTCGCCGGGTTCGCAGCGCAGCACGCTAACCACTGCACAACCGCTCCGCACGCACACACACGCACACACTTACCGAAGGGCCCTGGTCATCCAGGCCACTTGGCTGGGTTGGGTCTCCATGCGGTCTGTTCCATCCGTCCAGATCCAGGTATCTTCCCATGGCCACGACGGGAGTGTTGTTGCTGATGTTGTTGTTGCTGCTGATGATGATGACGATGGTGGTGCCGATGCTGCTGTTGATATTGACGATGGTGCAGCAGCTGCTGCTGATGATGATGATGATGCCGATGATGACGGTGATGGATATGGGATTCTGGACGCGCCTCCATCGTGGCGCCACGTGGGCACGGCCACGTCACCCGCGTCGCCTCCAGCCGTCACCATCGTCGCCCTGAAGGTCCCGCCGCCGCCGCCACCCGAACAACCTCCGACTCTGAACTTCTCCCAGGGCCTCACCACCCCGGAGCTCTCCTTCTTTGGGGCGGACTCGTGGCCCAAGAGCGACGCTGGCGGCGGCGGTGGCGGCGGCGAGAAAGTGCGACCTCGCCACGAGCCCTCCGAACTGTCCGCTCGGCTCCGATCGTAGACGCCGGACAGCTGCTTGCCCACGACGTGGCCGAAGATGGACGCGCGCTGTCTCACGCTGCCCCGGTTCGCGTCCTCCTCCTCCTCTTCTTCTGCCGCCGCCGCCGCCTTCGGAGTGTCCCCCTCGCCGCTGACCGACGGGCCCACGGCATCGGCCGAGCCCGCCGTCGCCGCCGCCGCGAGAGATGGCCCGGGGCCCTCGAAGGAGTAGGTGAGGGGTCGCTGTTTGGGGGCCCTGACTCCCGTGGCCGAGTTGCTCCTCCTCATGAAGAGCCCCCAGGGAGCGGGGCCCGCCAAGGGGCGCGTGGGGCCTGCGGTGTCTCCCCTCGCCGGCGGAGGCGACTGCATTTTGAGTTGTACGAGTGGTGTGTGTGTGGTGTGGTTATGTAGGATTTTTTTTCGCAACGTAGGTAGCCGGACACCGTGTTGATCGGGAGGTGCAGTCCCCCGTGGGGTTTCCTTTTTTCAACCTGCGAAGTTACAGAAACACAAAAGGGTCATCCCGGGGGGTAACGAGACCCCAGCGGTAAGCGCGTTCCGTCGCTCGCTGCGAGATGTTCACGGTTCGAATCCAGCCGGCTGCCTCCCCTCCTGGTTATCACTTCGGTTGTGTACGAACCGTAAAAAAAATCCAACTACACAAAACAACAATACAAAACAATAACATAGGACGTCTGCTTCACAGTTGGACGTTAAAAGAAGCCCCCCGAAGTCATTGGCAGGAGTAGGCCGCCATCGCGCGCCTGCATCCGAATTTTCCGCACTTGTTAAAATGACACCGCAAAACAAAAAAAACGACGGCTCGATTATTGCAATACGGAGAGCAAGCGTAGCCCCACCCCTCCCCCCGACTACACAAACGTGGCAAGACCCTCATTGCAAAGAGTCATGAGACTCGTCGAGGCTTTTCTGAGTAAACAAGATGAATAATAATGATACTAACCGCGTGGCGTACCAAGGCGAATGCCGTGGGGTTAATCGTTGTTACACTCACATGACACACAAGACAAAGATACCCAGGTAGCCTACTACAGAGTCTGTTGGGGCAAGTGCCGTTAGCGAGCACCTATAAAAGCCAACACGGCCACGAGGGGGTCGTTGTGGTGTGTCAGCATCGTCTCTGCGAGCGCTGATGATCGTCTTTGCACACGACGCCAGGTGATTAATTTAAGGCCGAGTCGACCTAGGTGTTGGCCCCGAAAACGGTCCGGACGTCACTCGCCACTGAGATCGGTAGCCGTTGCCGCAGCACTCCCCATTCCGCCACCGCTCCGCCCCAGCCGGAGTAATTATCCTGTCCACACCCCGACACTCAAAATCCATCAAAATTCCGATCAAATAAAAATATTGGCTTAGGAACGATTCACCCCCCACCACCCATTCCACCCACCACCCACCTACTCCTCCTCCCGCGCTCTCCCCCACCAGCTCTTGGATGGAGTTCTTAGCGCAGTGCGCTAACCACTGCGCCACTGCTCCCCACGCGCCCCGCAACACGAGATGTCACAAATAACGAGGAAGTTCCCCGTTGTTCTGCGACGGAAAATAACACGACGGATGTCAATTTTGTTTTCTACTCACCATCATCCCCTACTCGGAACACTTTGAAGTAATGTGCTTTTTTTAATGTAATAATACATTGCCAAGTTTGTGAGTTTTCTTCACGTTATCTAATATTGTGTGCCGTTCCGGCTTTTATTAGGCGCTCGCCAACAGCGCTTGTCCCAAGAGCTTGTGAAGGCTACACGGGGGATCTTTGTCCTTGTAGCGGTTAGCCGGCCGCTCCCGAATATCTGAATCAGGGCCTTGGGCCCTCACCTACCTCCGTTGACTCGGCCTCAACAAAAATGTTTTTGAATTTATATGGTGCGGTGTGTAAACATCACCCAGCAAGGCGTGGTGCTATCCACACGCCCCCTAGCGCGTGTGTCAGTGTGTGTGTGTGTCAGTGTGTGTGTGTGTGTCAGTGTGTGTGTGTCAGTGTTTAACCAGGCTGGATTGTGTGAGGAGCTCACAAATCCTTGAAAGATCTGGGCAAAGTCCCATCAGTGAGCTCCTCCGGCAGGCAAGGCTGCGTTGGCTGGGTCATGTAGCCCGCATGCCCAGCCACCGCATGCCAAAACAGCTTTTGTTCGGCCGGATCGAGGGGGCTAAGCGGGCGCGGCACGGGCTGGAGAAGAGATGGAGTGATGTGGTACAGGAGGACGTGGAGCTGAGTGGACTTGCCGATGACTGGTACCAGCGGTGTCAAGATCGGCCTCAGTGGAGGAGGCTCGTGAAGGACGCTACTGGGCAGTTGGAGGCAGTCGCCCTCCAACAACAACGGAGGGCGGAGGAGCGACGCTCACAACAACGAGCGGAGCGCCGAGTGGCTAAAGCACAGCAAGTTGGCACAGTAGGGGGCACAGGTGGTGCATCAGCCAGTCATCTCGGTCATCTCGGTCAGTCGACCCGTGGCACCTGGGTCTGCCCCGTGACCTCCTGCCAGCGGGCGTTCGACACTTCACGTGGCATCAAGGTGCACTTGGTCTGGCACAAGCATCGTGGTGACGTCACCGCCACTTAGTGGCGAATGGCGGTTGTTGTTGTTGTGTGTCAGTGTGTGTGTGTGTGTCAGTGTGTGTGTGTGGGGAGCGGTGGTGTAGCGGTTAGCGCGCTGCACTATGAACCCGGCGACCCGGGTTCGATTCCCGCTCACGGTCAACACCAGTGACGATTATCTGAACCGGTCCTGGGTTTCCCCTAGGTCGACTCAGCCTCAAATGAGTACCTGGTGCGATGTGTAAACATCGCCACTAGGGAGACAAAGGCGGCCGGGCGAGGTGTTGGCCACCCACCCCCTCGTGTGCCGTGCCGGCCTTTATAGGTTCTCGCTAACAGCACTTGCCCCACCAGTCTGTTGAAGGCTGAACAGGCGGGATCGTTATCTTTGTTGTGTTCGATTTGCAAGGCTCTCGCCCGGCCTCGTTATTCGCAGTTCACTCAGCGCGCGGCTTCTTCAGCATTGGCGGGGGGGGGGGGGGGCTCGCAGTCGGCGCAGCGTGATGCCGCATGAGTGTTCATGAACCAGCGAGCATCAACGGTCCTCGCTTCGTTCTTAGCCAAAGCCACGCGCCGTTGTTGTACGGGACCCGAATCTCTTTATCCGTCTGCATTCGGCAACTAGGGAAGACTCGTAGAAATGAGAAGAAAACAATTAACACCACCTCCCATCCCAAATATACAACTAAATTATTTTTCTTTTGCCAGGTAAGGCCCGCTGAGCTGTATAACTTATTTTTTTAAGAAGCGACCTGGCTATCACACGTGATAGCTCAACGAAGTGGCCTATCGTCATCATCATCGTGTGGGAATATATAACAGGAGCTAAACGTGGAGGGGAAAAAAATCGGAGGACCCGGAGAAAAATCCACGCGACCACGGGGAGAGAAGCACGCAATCTCCAAATACACAGCAGGCACCGTCAGATAAGGATCGATCCCATGACCTCCTGCATACCAGGCAATGTCGTTAACATCTTGCCACTGTGAGGCCCCTATTATAAATATATATGGGTATGGGGGGGGGGCAGTTTCATGGGGAGCGGTGGCGCAGTGGTTAACGCACTGCGCTATTGAACCCGGCTTCCCAAATTCGATTCTCGACCGCGGCTAAAGGTCGTGGCAACAACACTTGAGTCGTTTATTCATTGCCCAGAGACTCGCCCTGCCATCGATCTACTCGGCCTTTAAACGCGTACGTGAATACCGGCATTGTCGGAGACAAAGGCGGTCGGACGTGGGGTGTCAGCCGATCACCCACCGACCCACCAACCCACCCACCCACACACCCACCGACCCTCCTACCCACCGACCCACACATCCACCGACCCACCCACCCACCGACCCACCGATCCACCCACCCACCAACCCACCCACCCACCAACCGACCCACCCACCCACCCACCGACCCACCCACCCACTCACCAACCAACCCACCCACTCACCAACCCACCCACCCACCCACCCACCAACCAACCCACCCACCCACCAACCAACCCACCCATCCACCAACCAACCCACCCAATCACCCACCCACCAACCCACCCACCCACCGACCCACCCAGCCACCCACTCCTCCACCAACCCGCACTCGCCGTGCCAGCCGCGTGTTAACCCGAGCCGGGGTATTCTTCGCGACAGCTTTGAACGAGGCGGCTTTATTTATTTATTTAGTGTCGCTGCCCGCGCTATCAGCCCCCATTGCAATGCGCGGCTGCACTCCCTCCAAAAGGCGGAGAGAGCGGCGCCGTGGCCCGGCCGGTGCAATGTGACCGCCGAATGAAAAATTCAACTTGGAACCCTTCGCCTCGTTCATAATGAACGCGTGGGGGGCTGGGGGCGGAAGGGGGGGGGCGCGGCGCAGGCGGGGTGGGGCTACGAGTTTGAGGAGAAGCGATCTCTAGATATTTATACGGGTCAGGTGAATGCTTTATTATTCAGTGGGGTATCAGTCAACATCGCGTAGCAGATGCGGCCAATCTCCCACACAGCCAATGAACAATTTAGACCGGCGCCCCAACCATAACCCTCCCTCCCACCCACCCTCTCGCCTACCCACCCTCCCTCCCTTCCAGCTCCCCAACCACCTACTCTCTCGCTCACCCACCCACGCTCCAAGCCACCCACCCACCCAGCCACCCACCACCCTCCCAGCCACCAAACCACGCTCCCAGCCATCAACCCACGCTCACACCCACCCCCCACGCTCCCAGTCACCCTCCCAGCCACCAACCCAGTCACCCAGCCACCCACCCAGTCACCCAGCCACCCACCCACCCTCCCACGCTCCCACCCTCCCACGCTCCCACCCTCCCACCCTCCCACGC